CACCTACTTTGTGCTGGGCCCTGCTGACCTCTGGGACCACAGCACTTAGAGGCGGCCCAGCTCACGGGTGGGAGGACAACCTGCAGGTCAGAGGGAGGTGCCCGGGTGAAGGGCAGCAGCATCCCAGCTCCAGGCGGACAGTGCCGTTGTCCCAGTTGGAGGGAAGATGGACATTTGAATTTTATGTGAAAGCTCCTGATTTTTCTTTTTCTTTTCTTAGTACTGGGGATTGCACCCCAGGTGCTTTACCACTGCGCTACAGCACCACCCTTTTCCGTTTTTATTTATTTATTTTTAATTTTATTTATTTATTTATACCTTTGGGGTCTTTAAACTTTTCTTTGTAGTTTGTAGGTGGACACCATGTCTTTATTTCACTTGTTATTTGTTTAATATGGCGCTGAGGATCGAACCCAGTGCCTCACGCGTGCTAGGCAAGTGCTCTGGCACCGAGCCCCACCGCAGCCCCTGTTTTATTTTAATTTTGAGATAGGCTCTCACGGAGTGGCTTAGGGCCTCACTAAGTTGCCAAGGCTGGCCTTCAACTTCTGCCTCCTGCCTCAGCCTCCCAATTTGGGCACTTTGGATTTGGGGATTAGGAAATCTCAATTTTTCTGGTTACTAGTCCATGCAAATATTCAAAAATCTGAAAAACTCCCAAATCTGAGACACCCCTAGGCCCCAGCACTTCAGGTCAGAGATGCTGAAGCTATCCGCCACTTAACCTCCAGCACGGCCCTGGGCGTGGCTTGGAGTCCCAACAGGACTCACACATCACACAGTCCACTCATTAACCACGAGCTCGGCCCTGACAGCGGGAGTTTGGTGCTAGGACACTGAGCCCTCCAGCCCTGGCCAGCTCTCTCCCACACACCGAGCCAGGACTGTCCCCAGGCATAGCCTGGCAGGCCATCGGTGTCTGTGTGGCCGAGGCACAGCAGCCTGGGGTGAGCTGGAGGCAGAGGGGCCGATGCCAGTCGCATAGTAGGTGCTTCATAAACGTTGCTGACATGAATAAACGAATGTGCGGTGCAGCCAGGGAGGCCGCTGGGCCAGGGAGGGCCCTGCACTGGACGAGGGGTGCACATGGTGCTTGGAGGACAGTGTCAGGGGGCCCGACTGTCCCTCCAGATCCTCGGGCTGCCCTTCCAGGCCCTGCTCTGGGCCCCAGAACACTGACCTCCAGGGATGATGGGTGACATCCACTGGCTACTGTGCTGCCCCAGGGGGGTTGGGTCCTGAGGGACCCGGTGGCTGGAGGTGGGGCCAGCCGTGTGCTGGTGGGTGTCCAGGAGCCACCTCGGGAGGAAAGGCCTGGTGTGTGGTGAACCAGCTTCCCTGGTGTACGCTTCTGCCACAGCGTGGGCATGGCGTCCTGACGAGCCTGGGTGTCCCCAGGCTGGTGTGTCCCCAGGCTGGTGTGTCCCCAGGCACTGGGCCATGGTGGAAACGGGGTCCTGCTGACGTCGGGTGTCTCTGGAGCCGTGTGCTCACGGGAGCCGGTGCCCCTCTGAGCTCAGACCTCGGTAGAGGGACCTCGTGGGACGAGGGACCGCTGCCTGGCCCCAGCCTGAGGTGTGGCGAGGCTCAGTGACAGTCACCATCGTGACCACCACCTGGGCCCCTGCGCCCTGCCCTGGGCTGGGTGACCAGGCTCTGCAGTCTGGCTGGGTGTGGATGTCTGGGTGGAGGCCTTCTGGGGTGCCCACTGGCTCTGAGGTGGCGGCCAGCGGGAGGGGGAAGTGGCCAGCGGCTCTCTAGCGCCTTGGCTCCCGGCCTCCTCCTCTGCCTGGCCGAGGGGGACTTGGCGGGAGGGCCAGGGAGGCAGCCCTGCACCCCCTTCTGTGGAGAAAGCAGGGGCCACGAGGTGTCCTGAGACCGGGGCAGAGGACACAGGGTGCTGCGGGGACCCCTCCCTCAGGCTCTCCAGGGAGGGGGGAGCAGGGGTGCTCGGAGCCTGGGTTCGAATCCTGGCCTCCCTCTCCTGCAGTCTGCCCTGAGGGAACCATGCTTCATCTCTGCGCCGCAGTTTGGGCTCATTCAGTGAGAACGAGCCCTAAGGAGCCTACTGTGATCTAGGGGGTGTCTCTGGACCAGTCGGGCCTCAGTCTCCAGCTGTGAAGTGGGAATGGCGGTCATCGGGATTGATGAGACAACTCTGAGTCTAGCACGAGGCGTGGCACCTAGTAGGTGTTCAATAAATGAGTCAAGATATGCCTTCTGTCCCCTCATGGCACAGGGTGGGGGTGAGACGCTGCACCTCGGGCGAGTTACCTACCTTCCCTCAGCCTCGGCTTCCTCCCGGCAAGCTGGACCGTGGAACCTGCCTGAGGGACAGCCCTGCAGTCTCGGTGCCTGGTGCAGACACGCCATTCCCAGCTAGGTCCGCCTGTCCCTAGAGCGGCCTCAGTCAGCGTGAGGTGGGGCCCTGGAAGGTTCTGGATGCTTCCCTCCAACTGTACTCCAGAGAGCCTGTGGGTGCTCCCGTCCTGCCTCCCCTGGGTTTGGGGGCTTCCTCTCCGTGGTCCCGCCTGGGCTGCTGGGCGTGCTCCTGAGGGGAAGGGGAAGCTCTTTGGGCTCCTGGGAAAGGACTGATACTGGGTGGGTGGGCAGTTGGGGGGCATTGCCTGAAGGACAGGGAGGAAGGCTGGACCACGAGGCCTCTGACGAGCAGCTGCCTGCCGAGAGCCATGGAGCAGGCGACGGCCCACTGCCCTGGTAAGGCCTCACCAGGCTCCAGGTTGGGAGCACTTTGGGGTGAGCCACCAGGTGCGGCCAGCTGGCCTCCGCTCTGCCCCGGGGCCATCCCCTGTGAGCTCTGCAGACTCTGGCTCTGACGCACCTTTTAAGGCAACGCAACGGCGGCTCCTGCCACCACCTCCCTGTCCCCACTTGCTCAGAAATTCCCAGCAGGTTTTTTCTTTTCTTTTTTTCCTTTTCAGGGGGATTGGAATGAGACTCCGTGTTCTGTCGCCACAGATTCCAGAGGCAGGTCTGGGAGTTCAGAACGTGACAGGAAGTGCACGCCATGCCACCTGGAGGGGCAAGGCACAGGAGCCCACGACCCACCCACTAGTCCCAGGGACTGCTGCAGGCCTGACCTGCCCAGGGCCCACTCTATTCCTCAGGCCAGGGCGCTGCCCCTCCTGGAGCTCTGAGGACAGGGAGGCCTCATCCTGCCCCAGGGCTTTTGTGCTGCTCCTCTGCCTGGGTGCCGTCCCCACAGAGCTTGCAGGCTGGATCCCGGCCATCCTCCTTTGGATCCCGGCCATCCTCCTTTGGATCCCGGCCTTCCTCCTTTGGATGCCAGTGTCATGTTTCTCCACAGTTTATCTCTTCTAAAGCCACCCATCCCCTTTATTGTTCATCATCTGCCTCCCGGAGTGGAACAGAGGCCCCTGGGAAGCTGGAGGTCCCCGCCATGTCCAGACAGCAGACTGTGCTTCACAAAACCAAAACCCTGTGCCCCACCAGGCGGAGCCAGCGCTCTGCACTTGGCCTTCACAGCCCCAGCTGGACAGCGAACTTGGGGTCCCTTCTGAGGAACCATCCTGGCAGAAGGCCTGCCTCCCAGAAGCTGGGACTTGAGGAGATCTAGGCTTGGAACTGCTTGGAAGGTGACCAGTCACCCCAACAGGGGGTTTCAGGGAAGGGATGTGGGGATGGTCAGTAGTGAGGGCCCTGCCTTGCTCACCAAGGCTGTCAAAGGCACCCTGTAACTTGGACAGGTGGACCTGCGGGGTGGCAGCCTCCACTGACGGCCTGCAAGTGCCCTCAGCCTGGAAGCCACCCCACATCCCCATCCAGACACAACCACAACTGGACACCTAGCCCTGGGCAGGGGACGAGGCGCAGCAATTATTCCTCAGACCAGCAAAGCCTTCCCTCCCCAAGCAAGAAAGGAGGTTCCAGAAGTCAAGGGTGGCCGCAATGGGAGGGGGTCCTGCCATAGCCCCAGCAGGCCTGGCTGAACCAGGAAGACCCAGAGGCCCCAGGGAAAAGGCCCTGGCCTTGGGCAGTTTCTTGCCAAACTCTGCAACTCAGGATACTGGTGACCTAGGGCCTGGAGCCCAACACCCTTTGCTGTGCAGTCAAGTCCCTGGACTGTGGGATGAGATCCTATCCACCCATACCTGGAGCACAACTGAGGGGCTCCCCCTGGCTGCCAAAGGCTTAAGTGCAGTGATAACAGAACCTTAGGTAGAGCCACCTGCAACCTCCTCCTCACCCACTAGGCTGCCTGCAGTTCACATGTAATGGGGAGTTTAGCCTGAAGGCCACCTCATTTGAGAGCTACCAGGACCCAAGTGGGGCTGAGCTGGGCTGAGTAAGGTAGGAATCCCTCCCGTTAACAGAAACGGCTCAATCTGGGGAGCAAGTTCCTACTGATGGCAGTCAACCCAAAACCCAGCTGTAACATCAGGGTCTGTCCCAAAGGTAAAGACCTCAGCCCAGAATGGTCACTTTTAAGGACCTGGGTGCTGCTGCACCTCTAGGCCACATCATGCCTTTATAATCCTTCTAATTACTCCAGAAGCCATGAGGCACCACTCCTGCGTGACATGGCCTCTCCCACTGCCATGTCTTGGATAAGGAAACTGAGCAAGCCACAACTGGTAGGCGCCCTGCGTGGATTAGGATAACTGTGCACTGGATGGACCTAGTTTTGCCTTAGGCACCAGAACATCAAGTGCTCCTCTCTCCAAATCCCTGGCATCACCCAAGCTGTGCAAACAGAACAGACTTCTATAGCTAAGGCTCAGCTGCCTCACCCTGGTGACAAATATTGACACAAAGCACTCTCCCCCCCCCCACAGGTTGGCTTTCTCGGGTGTGGCCTTAGCTTCCTTCACATCTTGTCTGCTCCAGAGATGGGGCCAGGTGGGCAGAAGGTCAGAGCCCACCAAAGCCCTGAGAGCGGCAGAGGACCCTCTGGCCACTGTGCACACAGGCCTTTGTCTCTGAGGCCTTGCTACTCCCAAGAAAAAAACAGAGGCAAATGTCACTAAAATGCTTTATTGGCCACAGCCAGCTGCTCAGGATCCAGACATCAAGCACCTTCCTCCTTGGCAATGCGGTCTTTCTTAAGTGGTCCCTGTGGAGACAGGAAGGCCAGAGATGAAGCAGGCGGCAGCAGGAGTAAGCACTCCCTAGGGGACTGAGGGGAGCACCCAGGATGGGCCACCACCAGAGCCCCTAACCCCAGAGCAAGGTAGCTGGCAAAAGGGCTCACCATGAATGCTTTCTTCTCTTCCATGGTCTGGAAGCGGCCATGGCCAAACTTGGAGGTGGTGTCGATGAACTTAAGGTCAATCTTCTCCAGAGCTCGCCGTTTGGTCTGTACCAGCAAGGACTGTGGCAAGGGGGAGGGGGCTGTGACTTAGAGGCTCCCCAGCATCTCAGCTCAAGAACCCACACAGCACCATCTAGTGGCCCAAGCTCTGAACTTGTCCCATCAGGCAGAGGAGCAAGAGGACCCTGAGAGCAGGATGACCATGAACACAGGAGCAACTAGCCAGACTAGGAATTTCCTCCTCCAGACTTCAAAGCTGGTGTCAAAGGGAAACCAACGCCCTCCCCTCAACCCTCCCACTCTGGCTCAGCACCAAAGGCTGAGCCTGTGATTCTCCACAGGGGTGAGATCCTGAAAGGATGCAGGAGGTCACCCAGTGTTACCTTGCGGAGAGTGAGGACCCGCTTCTTGGTCCCCACCACACAGCCTTTCAGCATGACGAAGTCATTGGTCACTTCACCATAGTGGACAAAACCACCCTGGGGAAAAAGCAAGGCCACGGGGTCAGCAGATTAAGCATGGAGGCAGCTGCCCTGCAGACCTGTGAGCTCTACAGATATGGCAGACCTTTGGGGTCAGATTGTCCCTGGCCATCTGACTGCAGGGTTTCTCAGAAGGAAGATAACAGGGAATGGTTCCTTGTCTGACTCCAGCGCCCAGTACACATTCTAGGCCTGATCACAGAACAGCTGGGCCTGAACCCCTACCTTTTTAGTCAGCCCCATCTAGAGGGCCTAGACTTGCAAAGCACACAACAGGGTGCTGTGCAGGGGCCAATGACTGACTGCACCCAGCACCCCAGAGAGCAGGCCCCTCACCCCACTGCCAAGGCCTGGGCAGCTCCACAGGGTACCCGGGCATCTTTGCAGGTGGAGGCAGTTCAGCACTCACCAGAGGGTTGATGCTCTTGTCAGACAGGTCGTAGTCAGTGGAAGCATTATTCTTGATTAGTTTGCCATCCTTGATGAGGTAGCCCTGGCCAATCTTGTAGATCT